CTGGGTTTCCATTAGTTACATATAGTGGCTGACACAGGCCAAACCCATTTCTGTCCCATCTGTGGACTTGTCCTACGTCATGTGGCCTGAGGCCGTTACACATAGCCCAGAGCCAGGGTTCTGAAGGCCTGTGTAGAAGCTGCCAGGCTGCTGTGACCACATGCACAAACTTCACATGAACAAACTTCAGGTGGTTTGGTATTCAGTAGCTGCCTACACATGTAAGATTTTCACTTAGACCCTAGATGTCAGTGGAATCCTGAGCCGACACATCCTGTCTTGAATCTCCCAAGGTGCAGCAGTGGACCCCATTCTTCACACCCTTTGCCAGCCTGCAGTCCTGAGCAGGTGTACACACACACACACACACACACACACACACACACACACACCCCAACCCCCGGGTCTCCGTGTGGGTTCCCCCCTCCCCTCCCAGTCGAAGATCTCAGGAGGGCCCCTCCCTTTTCTAATCCAGATCTTTGTGGTGGCTGGATACCATCTTGAGGTAACTAACTCCCACCCCATGCCTCCAGCTCACAGGGCTACTAATCTGTCAGCATATCTATCAGGGGAGTCTGCTGTTGCTGTGGCCTCTGGGACATTGGCCTGCCAGATTTGGAGAGGTATTCCCTGTGGCCTAATAGAACAGGACACAGCAACCTCAAAGTTGGATTTGAGCCTACAACACTACCTTTGTTTGTTTGTCTTAGGTGTTTTGAGACAGGGTTTTTCTGTGTGGCCCTGGCTGTGCTGGAACTCACCGTGTAGACCAGACTAGTCTCGAACTCAGATCTGCCTGCCTCTGCTTCTCAGGTGCTGGGACTAAAGGTGTGTGCCTGGCCAGATAGCCACATCTTGTCAAAGTGGAAACAGGTCCTTTAAGACCAGTGAAGCCACTCCTAGGTGAGCGTTGGGGGACAGAGCAGCCCCTAATGCTGTCAATACGACTCCCACTCTGCCTGTTGGCTGAGACATCTGAGCCTTTGAGACCCTGAGAGTAGTAGAGGAAAAGTGGTGTTCTTTACGAAGCAAAAGTCAGGATGCCTGCTGTCTTGTCTCTTACTGTGTGGGGCACTCAGCAGCCAGTCCCATTAGTCTCCAGCACAGCTTCGGGGTGCTTCTCTCACAGGACCGTATTAATGCCTATAGGAGACAGTACTGAGGGGACAGTTCCCTGGCTCTGGGAAGAAGCCCCATGGTCTCTTTCACCCCAGCCTGCTCAGTCTTAGTGAATCCATCTCTCCCACTCTGGTGGGAGGAGCACTTGTTTAGGATCTTCACAGCAAGGTGCCCTGATCCTCCTGTGCCTTTACTGGGACCAGAGATTGTGTCACCTATGTGAGAGATACATTCTCAGAGTGGGGAATCCCTCCTGTGAGTCAGGGAAAGATGTACCACCTAGAGGGAGGGAGGGAGGCCGACTGGCCAGCCAGCCTGTTCAGGGGGCATGGTGTCATCTGTCCATCCTGTCTGTGTGTGCTCCTCACACACAAACATACACTAAGTGACTAATGCCACATTTTCTAAAAGTCCCTTGGGAAACTGAGGGGTTCCTGCAAGATTGGGGGCCTCCTTCAGGAGCCATTGGGCTAATGAATGTACACGTGGACCATTCTGATGGCAGAAGACCATTGGAGGGTAATGGAGACAAGGCTGGACAGGGAGCAGGTGTGTAACTCAAGCTACTGTGTGTTGTGGTACAAGGTTTGGGTACAGAAGGGTAGGTGGGTGGGTCATGGTTTAGCTATGCTGGGCCCCAGTGTTGGCCCCAAGAAGGACTTGTGGTCCTGAGTGAGGTGTCTTTGGGCTGTAGGACATGGTTAGCTCTGAGGCCCCACTGGACACATTTCTCACCTTAGGTGATGTGTTGTTTGTGCATTGTGGGTCTGGGCAACAATTTCTTGGAAACCTTTTCTATGGGTTTTTGCAGTTTGAGGTGCATAAGAATGCTTTATGTTTAGCATTTGTACTGAATAATCTTCCCCTTAAATAAGTTTAGGGCCATTATTTTTTTTAGTGCTTCTGTTCTGTTCCCACCTGTGAACGTGTCTTCTCTCCTGTGTCCTGTGTGTTCCAGTGGGCCACTACTCAGTGGGTACCAAGAAAATGTAGGTTTGGGAGGACTGGGCCCCAGGAAGCCTCATTTGAGAACCACAAAGGTCTAGTCCCCAAGGCCAACTCTATCTCCTCCATGAAGCCCCTTCCTGACATGAGGCTGAGGGAGCACAGGTAGGAACTGAGCACCTCCCCTGGCAAGAGGGTTAAGAGCTCAGCCACCCTGCAGGACACTGCAGACACCCTGGTAGGAAATAGAGCTTGTGGTGTTAATGACCAGGTTGGCCTTTTTGCAGGGGTCTTTGCTAGTGACGTTGTGCTTCAGTGTGTTCTCAACTTGGGCGTGAGCAGGCAGGACACGTTCATACAGTTTCCTGATAAATGCAGTCAACCCAGACGGCCTGGCCATGCAACAGCCACCTGCGCACTACTCTCCACGCTCCGCTTGCTCTGTTTATACTCTTTCATAAGTCTCCCTCCAGTGCCTGTTGCTGGGTAATCCATGTGTGCCTGTTCCTAAATTAAAAAGTACAGAGAATCTTGAAGGTACTTTTGTTAAAAGCTGAGCTTTGAAAAGTTTTTCAGTTTGGGAACAAGATGGGCTTGTGGTTTCCTCTGTATGTGAGAGATGACCTCAGGTGACCGGGTGCCTAAGACACAGGCACAGTCCCCTGGAGGCTGCACAGAAAGGGCCTCAGGGTGAGTGAAGCCTCCATTTTCTGATAGCACCTGAACCCTTACCTCTCTTCTCAAAATGAAGGCTGTGTGTCACAAACCGGTTAGAACTGCCCGTTGCCATGGTTTTCACGTTGGAAGGCACAGTTAAAGGGTCACATGACCAAGGAGGGAATTGCCTTTGTCACATGACTTTTTGGTGGCCTGATTAGCATAGAGGAAGTTCAGTGCTGACTGCCTGTGGCTGGGATGCTGAGTGATCACTGGCAGTGACATCACTTCTGAGATGTGTTATTGATTAGTTTGGACCCAAGATTGGATCAGAGGGCACAGTGGTCAGGGAGGCCTCAGCCCAGGATGGTCTCTGCCCCAGCCTTACCCCTCATCCCTTTATTAGAGGTCTACCTCAGGAAGATAGAAAAGAGGTAACCTCCTGCAGTTGGCTGCCTTTCAGTCTGTGCGTGCCCAGGAAGTCAGTCCTGGGTGCTTCTAAGGCCTGGCTGCTCTGTCCAGTACCACATCCATCTGGGCCTCTGCTGCAGCACAGTGTGCAGCTGATGGTGTGTACAGCCCATGGCCTGGAATCAGAGCTGCCAGGTCACCTTAAAAGCTGATCTTGGGTAGTGTAGGGCCCATGGGGCCTTCATTCAGGAGAGACCCCGAGGGAGCAGCCCAGGGTCTCCAATTTTTTAAATAATTTGTTTTGTGTGCATTGGTGTTTTACCTTGTGTGCCTGTGTAAGGGTTTCGGATCCCCTGGAACTCCAGTCACTGATAGCTGTGAGCTGTTGTGTGGGTGCTGGAGACGGAGCCTGAACCCTCTGGGAGAGCAGCCAGTGCCCTTATCCATGGAGCCATTTCTCCAACCCTCCAATGACAGTTTCTGGGCTGCCAAAGACTGACACAAAGTAGCCCCCAGGCTTGGGCCTTGCAATTTTGTCCTTCCTTACCCCTGTCCTGACAACCTGGTAGCCATTGTCAGGGTTCATGTGTAGCTGCCATGCTCCTGAGTGGAACCAGGAAACCAGGACCACCTCTGGCTGGTCAATCTGCTTCTGACTCTTCCTGAGGGCTGTGGGGGTCCAGAGGCTCTTCAGTAAGTGACTCCTCACTTTGCTCTAGCACAAACCACAGCAATGCTTTGTGCTGTGACTTCCAGTTAACTTTATCCGTGTGTCTCCTGTGTCACAGTGCCACCTAGTGGACATGTCCTGAGCTGCTTTTCCAGGAGCCAAATGGGAGATGAGTCCTCAGAGGGTGTTGGGGTACACACCCAGGGGCAGTTTGTAGCCTGCCCTCTATGCACACAGCACCTTCTTTAGGATTTGCTGTCCCCACCCATGTGGTACAGCAGCAGAGCACATTTGGCCCTGAGGCTTTAGAAGCAACCCTCTGACACCCTTTACAAATAGGGAAGTCCAGTGTCCTCAGAGCTCCTGTGTGGTTTAACTGACACAGACTATGCTGGGCCATTGGCTCAGTGACTGCCTTTAGGGAGTGTGGAAAGAACGCACAGTATTGGAGAACTTTGGTAACTGGCAGCCCGTAACACTCCTGCCATAACTCAGCTCCCAGGGGCCTGTTTGGCTGTTGGGTTCATAGAAGTTTGGGTGATAGTGGTGAGTGTTGTGTGGTGTAGCTTCTTCTGAAACTTGGAAAGAGTGTGCAGAGTTGGGGTAGAGGACAAAGTGTAACGATTAGGACAGCGTTGGTATCCTCAGGCAGAGCCGTTCTGAGCCTTGAGACAGTGGTTCTTTTGAGTCTGAAAACCTGTAGTCACTGCAGCTACTTGCCATGTGTGTCCTAGGTAGGTGGTTTCACAGATGGCCCCAGGTTCCCTTGTGAAGTGAAAAGCAAGGGCCAACAGCAGGCCATCTAGCTGTTTTGGTTTTCTGGGGCTTGTATGGGACTGGGTTAAAGGAGGGGTGGGCTTCCCATTGTGTGATTCCCAGTGTGAGCAGGTGGGGGCCCTTGGCTTCAGAGTGCTCATGTCCTGTCCTGCCCACATCTCAGAAACTGAGATCTGCAGCTCAGTGTGTTTACCTGTGATCTAGCTCAACAGTAGAGTAGCACTTTCCACAGTATCCATGATATACCATGTTCTCACAGGCAGGGCATATGGTCTGAGGTGGACAGTCCTAGGGACCAGTTAGTAGGGACGACCATGATGTAGGTGGCAAGAGAGACAGCTGGTGACAGTAGAACATCTGGAGGAGGCTGGGAGGGGCCGAGTGCTCTGTTCTACTAACCCCTGTTGCCTCTGTCTGACAGTGACATAAAGTCCGAGAAGAGACCTCCTTCACCTGATGTGATCGTGCTCTCTGACAGTGAGCAGCCATCAAGCCCAAGGATGAATGGGCTGACCACAGCAGCCTTGAAGGACACCAGCACTGAGGCGCTACTGGTAAGACTTTGTAGGGCCTGTGCCCATGCCTGAGAGTCCAGCCACTGCTTTGCAGAGTCTCTACTGAGTGAGTCTCTTGCCAATTTTATGCTCTTGCTCTCATAGAAAAGCAGCCCAGAAGAGCGAGAGCGGATGATCAAGCAGCTGAAGGAGGAGTTGAGGCTAGAGGAAGCTAAGCTGGTCCTGTTGAAGAAGCTACGGCAGAGTCAAATACAAAAGGAAGCCATAGTGCAGAAGGTACATGTTCTGCCCACCTCAGAGCCTTGTCAGAATCTGGGCATCCCAGGATTTGAGGGATTGGTCTAGGGCAGAGGCCCAACACACAGGGTGCCTGGGTAGGAGGGAGCAAGCAGGAGATGATTACAGGGTGGTGGTGTGTGCAAGACGATCCACAGTCCACACACCCTACCCTGCTGATGCACCCTGCTGTCTTACAGCCTGCAGCTTCCTCAGGGAGCACCGTGACCACCCCTCCCCCTCTAGTGCGGGGTAACCAGAACATTCCTGCTGGCAAGACATCACTTCAGGTTTGTGCATACCCTTCTGCCTCTTGGCCAGCACCACCATTGTTTGTACTTTGGCTCCTGAGCAGCCTTGGTTCTGTGGCTGCCTATTCCTTCTGAAAAAAAGTGACACGGGGCCTCGTTCCAAGTAAACAGGCAAGGACCGGAAGTGTCACGTGTACCCCAAACTACCCTACCATACCAGGCTACAATCAGTGTCACAGACTGGTCAGTGGTGACCACCCAGTGAGATTGAAAGAGTGGCTAGAGTAGGACAGATGTTCTTCAGTGGGCTTCACTGAGGCTTCTCAGCTCAGACCTCTGCCTGCCCACAGGTCCCAGTGGCTCTGTCTCACCCTCCTTTCCTTCCTCTGCTTTCCCATGGCTCTTGGTAGAGTCGTGTATACAACAAATAGGTATTTTAGCTAATATTGTTTTTTTGTGTGTGTGTTAGGTGGGTTTTTGTTTGGTTAGGGTGGTTGGAAGGGGGGTTGAGAGACAGGGTTTCTCTGTGTATCCCTGGCCTGCCTCTGCCTCCCTAGTGCTGAGATTAAATGGCATGGCTTCTGTGTTGGTTTTTAATTTGTTACCTTAAAACAGAAACCAACCTAGAGCTGTGGCTTCGTTATTAGATTCCTTGCCTCATGTTACCAAGCCCTGAGTATCACATAAATCAGGTTGGTGGCTCACACCTGTCATCCATGCACTGGGGAAGTAAAGGCAGAAGCAATTCTAACAGAAAAAGAACAAATATATGATCCTGGGCCTCAATGTCATCCACAGACCTCCTCTGCTCGAATGCCGGGCAGCATCATCCCTCCGCCACTGGTCCGAGGTGGGCAGCAGGTGTCTGCCAAGCTGGGACCACAGGCCAGTTCCCAAGTAGTCATGCCACCACTTGTCAGAGGGGCCCAGGTGAGTCCGGCATGTGTGCTGGGGTGGCACCAGGTATTCACCCCTTCCATGTCTTGCCAGGGTTGGTTGGTCTCAGTGGCATTTCTTGTCCCCTGTCTCCCAGCAGATTCACAACATCAGACAGCATTCCTCCACGGGGCCACCACCTCTCCTCCTAGCCCCCCGTGCCTCAGTGCCCAGCATGCAAATTCAGGGACAGAGGATCATCCAGCAGGGACTCATCCGTGTCGCCAATGTCCCCAATACCAGTCTGCTTGTTAACATCCCTCAGGTGAGACTGGAAGCCAGGTGCAAGGTTGGAGTAGGGTTGCTGGTAGGTCTCAAGGTGTCATTGTTTCTTCTGGGAGTGGGCTAGTGTCACACTCTTGACTTCTGAGTCCAGTGGGGTCTTGGACACCCCTGAGGGTGGGACTGGAGTTCTAGGTGTGAAGATCATGCACAGATTGGCCTCTAGCAAAGTTAGGAAGCTTTTGATAAAGTGTGGGGACTGCATGTGAGACACAGCAGGCTTTGAGTAAAAAATGGGGAGACCACTAGAGGGACACCAGAGCCCTCGGGAGCTTCCCATCCTTCCAAGAGCCACTGCTGCAATACCTCGCCCAGCTCCCGCTGACTGTGTCCTCAGGCTGGAGGACAGCATGCCACAGATCTCCCATAGCCCCGTGGACTGGCTATTCTTAGCTATGTCCTTCCACCTCTGCACAGTCTTTGAGCTGGGAAGGGTCTGTCCCCACCCCTGAGTGGCAGGATGGAAAGAAAAGGGCTAGAGTAAGAGTTTGTCTGACAGATGAAATTACCCAGTCTGCAGGCCTTTTGCTGACAGCGAGTTCTTTCTTCTTGTTTGTCACTGCCCGCCCTCCTCAGACAAGACAGGGCTGGACTCTGGACAGCTCTAACAAAGGGCTCTTGCCTGTGTTAAAGTCCAGTTCCAGTGCACAGACAATGGCTATCTCTGCCTCCCACTTAGAAGGGTGTGTGTTCTAGCTAAAACAAAAGCCTGAGGGAATTGGGCAACTCTTCACAGCAGCCCATGTTCCACCTCTGCTTTGCTCAGTATGCTACCGTGGTGATCTGGTAGTGATGGAGCCAGGGCCCCTGCTAGTCAGAGACTGGAAGCCTAAGCTGGATCCACTTGCTAAGTGGGGCTTCAGCATCTAGAGCCCTCACAGAGTGATGTTTGTGTGTCTTGGTTATCTGTTCATCCAGGGAAAAAGTAGTACACGGTGCCTTGTATTTTGTGGAGATGTTGACAATCCCTCCACAACACCCTAGGAGCTGGGACACTGGCATGGTCAGCCTGGGTTTAAGCCCAGCAGTGGGGTGGGTGGAGACCACCCTAATGGGGACATGAAGTTGGGTGTGGCATGGGCCAAGCAGGAGCTATATACCCCCATGGCCCTGTAGACAGACAGAGTCAAGAGAAGCAGCACTCTGCTTCCCAGCTTGGTCTTGCTGGACTCCTGAGCAAGCAGGGAGCTGGGTATCTCTGCAGCTGTGGACCTACGTGGTAGCAAGCCACTCAGCTTTACTGTAGTTTGTTTTTGCTTTGAGACGGTCTCACTATGTAGCCCAGGCTGGTCTTGAACTCCAGAGATGTGCCTCCCCTTGCTTCCCTAGAGCTGGGGTTAAAGGCATACACCACTGTACCCGGCTCAGTGTGCATCAGACATGGAGCCTGCTTTAGGTAGCCTGAGCCTCACCTAGTTGTCTTCCACAGCCCACTGCAGCCTCACTGAAGGGGACAACAGTTGCCTCTGCTCAGGCCAGCTCCACCCCCACCAGTGTGGCCTCTGTGGTTGCATCTGCTGAGTCTCCAGCTAGTCGACAGGCTGCTGCCAAGCTAGCACTGCGAAAGCAACTGGAGAAGACTCTGCTCGAGATCCCACCTCCCAAGCCTCCTGCTCCAGAGATGAACTTCTTGCCCAGTGCTGCCAACAATGAGTTCATCTACCTAGTCGGCCTGGAAGAGGTGGTGCAGAACCTGCTGGAGACACAAGGTGGGTGGGTGGCCTTATCTCCTGCTGCAGCCTCAGGCAAGACATTCTAGAATTGGCTATTGGGCAGCCATGTGGCCACCGATTGCACTATGAAGTCAGTGCTGGTGTGGTTAGGGGTGAGGTTGAGCATCTGCAGGAGGCTGATCCTTGGATGAGGCAGAATTTTTCAAAGCCTCTAGTCTTCTTGGCCCAAAGGACAGATCGGGATACCTTTGCCTCAGCCAGGTTTGTTTCTTTACTGTCTTTGGGGACAGTGTGGATAGGGCATCTGTAGGCCCCTATTGAAACAGCATTAGACAAGAAAGGAGTGGTTGAATGGCCCAGCTGGCACCTAGACATACACCAAGAACCTTTGAGCTGGTATGGCAGGTTAGGGGTGGTCAGCCTCTCTTCCTACCTCAAGTGGCTTTGTCAAATGCCAGGAGAAAAAGGGGTGACAATGACTGAACCCAGCAGACCTTGGCCCTTGACTGTGGTCATTAGTGCTGGTTCTTTGACATAGATGGAAGGGGCAGTGTGCACAGAGAAGGGCTTCCATTGTCCATGCCACTGTGCAAAGAGGAATGTGGTGGGAGCATGCAGAATTGTGCCCACTGCCTCCCTGGAGCTGGTTATTGAGGGTGCTGGTTCCTGGGACCCCCCAGCCCCACACACTTGAGTTAGACCACACCCCAGAGCACTGAGGGCCAATAGGCTCAGAGGTTTGCCCTGTGTGTACTCCTTGGTAACGTTTGTAGCACGCCTTGAGCACAGAATTGCACTGAAGATAGCCAGCAGGCCCCTGTGGCGTGGGGTTAGTAATGCACACCTCTTGGGCTGCCAAGAGAGACCAAGTGTGCATTTCTGGAAAGCCTGGGTGCTAGCATGCTGTAGTGAAGTGACATTGGTAGCAGTGTTGGGAGAGGGCACTGAGTGCATGCAAGTGCCAGCCGGGTTCCATCCCTCGCAGGCAGGGCTGGCAGGAGTCTTGCCTGTGGAGTGCCAGCAGTCAGCTCTGACCCTGTTTTGGGGGGGTTAGACTAAACCAGAACCCTGCCCACCCTCATTCTGTTAGGCCCACTCCCCCATTCAGTGTATAGGTGAGGTGGGTCAGAGCTGTGGACAGCTAGTACAGGTACTGTCTCTTAGCTCTGGAACATCCCCATAATCCTGTCTGCCATATTCCTCAGTGTGCATTTGTCCCTCTGCCCCATCCATGCTGTGGCCCGCGGTGAGGCCTAGAGTGCATGCCAGCAACTCAGTAATGCAGCTGATCCATAGTGCAGCCAGGCTCCTCCTGGAACTGAGGCTTGGTTCTACTGCCAGCTACACGAAGAGGAAGTTGCTTGTTTCCTGGCCTCAGCCATCGTCAGTGTTTGGTAGCATGTCCCCAAGAAGAGGGAGTAAATATCCACTTGCTTGCAAGGCCAGTAACTGACAAGGCAGGGTAACTTATGACACATCTGTTAGTGAGGACCCCTGCCATGGCAAGGCCAAGCCAGACCAGTATCACAGGGACTTTGCAGAGTCGGTACCAGGGATGTTCAACCATAGCCTTTCTGAAGTTCATCCACTGTGTGTGGTCTTTGTGTACCTATGGGAGGTGCCTACCCAGGCCACTGCCCACAGCCATTGAGGTTACTTTGACAAAGTCACCCCATCTATTACAGCAGGCAGGATCTCTGCCAGCACAGCTGCTGCTGTGTTATCCCGGGAGCCTTATATGTGTGTTCAGTGCAAGACGGACTTCACATGCCGCTGGCGGGAGAAGGGCGGAGTTGTCATGTGTGAGAACTGCATGACGTCCAACCAAAAGAAGGCCCTCAAGGTGGAACATACCAGTCGGCTGAAGGCTGCCTTTGTGAAGGCGCTGCAGCAGGAGCAGGAGATGGAGCAGGGGGGGAGCCTGCAGCCCCACATACCACGCTGAAGCAGGTGAGAGCTGAAGCCATCACCATCCTTAGACTGCAGGATCTTCCGGCGGCGTCCTCTTCTGCCCACCCGCCTGGTGCTTAACTGCAGGTTAAATTGCACTTAATGAAAACACTAATTTGCAGTTTCTTTAGATTTTGTAGCTTTCACTCCCAGTCCACTGGGAAGTACTTCTGTCTAAAATGACTGCTGAGAGCCTTGCTGGGTGTTGGTGAGAACACCCTGGATAGCTGAAGGAGAGGAGTAGGGTATGGACCTGGACCTGCACCAATCTATCCCTTTTTTTCTTTTCTTTTTTGAGACAGGGTCTCCCCATGTAGCTCCAGCTGTCCCAGATCTCACTCTGTAGACCAGGCTGACTTTGAACTCACAAGAGACCTACCTGCTTCTGTGTCCTGAGTGGTGGGATTAAGGTGTGCACCACTAACCCAGTGTGCTGCTCTTTTTGTGGTTTCTGTCTGATCACATTTTGTACCTCACCAGAAACATTTTTCACCATCTCATGCAGTATCTGGAGTCGGCAGGTGTTGGCACTGCCATCATGGCCAGGCCTGTCTGATAGGGCACCCTCAGCCAGTTTGGATTAGTGTCATGGTCCTTGCTGACATACCTTTCAATCCTATTTGTGTAGGTCATAAAGCCCCGACGTAAGTTGGCGTTCCGCTCAGGAGAGGCCCGTGATTGGAGTAACGGGGCTGTGCTACAGGTCAGAACCCAGCCAGGGCCTCGCCCGCCTGCCCGACTGCAGACACCGGTCCTTGCTGTGCTCCTGCTCTCACGCTCTCCTCTCACCGCCCTCCCTCCTCCCTGTCTCCTCCCTTTTCTCCACCCCTTAGTGTAACTCACATGGCCGCTTTGACTTTGGACTCTAGAGACACAAGTGGGTGGGAAGAGGTCAGCCAGACAAGGAAAGGCCACTCGAAGCAGCCTGGCCACCCCTGCCCATGCTAAGCCTGGTTCCCTTCGTGTTCTGTAGGCTTCCAGTCAGCTGTCCCGGGGCTCAGCCACAACACCTCGTGGTGTTCTGCACACATTCAGCCAGTCACCCAAACTGCAGAATGCAGCCTCAGCTACGGCCCTGGTAAGCAGGACTGCCAGACATTCCGAGAGAGCTGTGAGCACCAGCAAGGGCACCACTTCCAACTGGAAAAAGACGACCCTGAGCACAGGTATAACTCTACCTCTGGGGCCTTCTGCCACTAGGCTGCCTTTCCTTGTTTGTGGGGTGTAGTCTGGTACAGGCTGGTCTGGAACAACCTGGTTCCCCAACAGAGGGTGTACATCCCGCTTCCTCCTGAGTGCACAGCCTCTTGCTCCCATGTAGTAGGCTTGCTTTCTTTGGAGCTACCAACCAGCTCCCAAATCATGACACCAATTTTTTTTATTCTGAATGTGCATCCTAGCTTATGCTTGTCTCACTAGTTTTTGTAACTTAACCTGTTTCTCTTCATCTGCATTTTGCCTCAGGGCTCGCTCTTTCCTTCCTTCCTTCCTTCCTTCCTTCCTTCCTTCCTTCCTTTCTCTATGTCTGGGTGGCCCCTGGCTTTTCCCTCTCCCTCCTTCGTTCTTTCATAGATTCAACCTGTTTCCCTGCCAGCCCTGCCTATTCTACTACTGCCTGTCTATTGGGCATTCAGCTTTTTATTAGAGCAATCAGGTGCCTTAGGCAAGAAGTTAAAGCAGCAACACTTTACATAATTACACAAATGCAGCGTAAACAAATGTAACACACCTTTACAGTTCTATTCTAAAACACTCCCATCCCTCCTGGGACAAGTGACACCTTGCCACCAGAAGAGCTTCTCGTGGCTCACTTTTAGCCTGCCTCAGAGTGTGAGCACCTAGCTGAGGGGTGCTTACTGTCACCCGCTACCCTGATGCTCACCCCCTCCTCAGCCCTTTGTTGCGCTTGGTGTTACTTGGCTGCCCTGCTTTAGAGGTTAATGGTACCAGCTCCCAGAGCAGAACCATGAGGTCAGAGATAGGTAGGCTGTGGTGCTAACAGGGCTGCAGGGGCTGTCAGCCCCCAACCCTGCTGTCCTCTAGCCCACTCTGCTGGAGGAACAGGGTGTGTGCCAGTCAAGGTCAGGAGCCAGGGAGCCTTGGCAGGCAGTGTAGTTGGACTTGAATTTGGGCCACCAACCAGCTCCTATGTAAAGACAAGAAGAGCTATTGTTATTTATGAATTAGCTTAGGCTTGCCCCAGTAGTTCTTTTAATTTAATTTAACCTCTTTTCTGTTAATTTAACCACATTTTGCCTTGGGGCTTTATACCTTTTTTTACTTAGTATCCCTTCTTTCACGATTTCCTCCGAGTCTGTCTGTCTGGCCCTTGGTGTCTCCATCATCTCCTTTTCTTTCTCCTGGAAGTTCTGCCTATTCCTCCTCCCTCACTATTGGCTGTTTAGCTTTTTTTTTTTATTAGACCAATCAGATGCCTTAGGCAGGCAAGGTGAAACAGCCACACATCTTTACATAGTTAAACAAATGCAACACATCTCTGTGTGGTAAAACAAATATTCTTCAACAAGACAGTATAGAAGGGGTGGTGCTCAGGTCTGGGCACATTCAAGGAAGAGCCAAGAACTTGTGGCCTTTTCTTAAATTACCTATTGTGATCCGGGCATAATAGCATACACCTGTAGTTCGTTAGGTGTGAGAGTAGACACAGTGACACTCACTTACTGTCCTTGCTACTTGGGAGGCTGAGGCAAGAGGATGGCTTTAGCCCAAGAGTTCGAGACAAGCCAAGGCAATGTAGAAATTGCTGACTAACTAAAAGGAGATAACTAAGTGATGAAGCATTTGCTTGAGGGGTGTGAGGCCCTGAGTGAGTTAACACCCTGGGGGCACAGCTGCCTGTGACTACAGTTTCAGGGGATCAAACCTCAATTGTGGCTCTAATGGCACCTACACATACATACATACATACATACATATACACACACACACACACACACACACACACACACACACACTCTAAATCTTTTTGTGAGCAGCATGGTGGTGGCATATGCCTTTAATCCTAGTGCTTGGGAGGCAGGTGGACCTCAGTGAAGACAGCTTGGTCTACAGAGCGAGTTCGAGAATAGCCAGGAATGTTACACAGAGAAACCCTGTCTCAAAAAATAAAGTAGTAAAGGGTTTCTTTGTGTAGTCTTGGCTATCAAGTGTTGGGGTTAAAGGTGTGCTCCACCACCACGCAGACTAAAACCATTTAAAAAACCCCAAGCAGGGCAAGCTGCCATCCCATGGCCTCAAGCTCTAGGAAGACGAGACAGGAGGACCGCTTTAGGCTTGTAGTCTGAGGCCAGCACAGAGAGACTCTTCACCTCACCTATGTGTACTTATACATGTGGAGAATTACTTTTCAGTCACACTGTTCCATGAAGCTCCATTGCATTGATGCAAAAACCCATATCTTAGCACAAAACCCCGACCCACTGTTCCATACATAGGTCACCTTAATGAGGTCTGGGGTTGAGACAATTGATTGATCGTGGTGTTCATGGGTCCTTTGGGTATGTGCTGGGCTCACTTCTACCTGTCACTGTGCTCTGTTGTAGGTGGCACCCTTGCCTTCGTCAGCCCAAGCTTGGCAGTGCATAAGACTTCCTCAGCTGTGGACCGTCAGCGAGAATACCTCCTGGACATGATCCCTCCACGCTCCATCCCCCAGTCAGCCACGTGGAAATAGTGTGAGCCCGGCCCAGCTGAGGACAGGCCCTCTGCTCTCCCGAGGCCCCTGGCCTAGGACACACAGACCACCCTCCTAACCAGTTGCCTGAGACAGCTCAGGCCTTGGCTATTTAGCCCTGCGGTGTTCAGAAGAGGGTGCCACCCTGGTACCCGGGATCAGAACCAGGGACCCTCCCCGAGGGCCTTCTCCTTCCTTTTTGCCTTTAGTTTGCCCGACACCAGCAGAAACTCGGACCTTGGGGCCAGCTCTGCCTGGCCAGCATGGGTAGGAGCTCACCCTGGACACTGTGACATGCCCAGGCCAGGCTGGCACCCGGAGCTCCCAAAGTTGAGCCAGGGTTTTGTTTTCTTTTGGCTTTTCCCGTCTTAGCTCCCCAGTCTCTGCCTCCTCATGGCCATCTATAGGTTGAAGTTTGGGTTTTTGTTTTTTCTTTTTTAATCACCTCACAATGATGATGGAATTAAAAGTGAACTGTGTAGACCCAGGGTCCCTGTTGTGCACAGTGTCATCCTGGCAGGCCCTGGTCCCAGAGAATGCTCTGAGTGGCAGTACCCAGGGATGACAGGGGCCACCACGGCTCCAGTTGTGTCTGTTGCTGCAGCCCCTGGCTTCCACGGTTATCAGAATGAACCGCAGCCCCAGACTCTGCCAGACACTTGGAAGTTCCAAGGGAATGCTGGGCCTACTGTGCTGGAACCAGAGCTGGCTGCTAGCAGGGAGGGTACTGGGTTATTTTTTGTGGTTTATTTTATTAAAATTTCTTTCCTTTTCCTCTTCATTTTGATGGACACAAGCTCAAGGTACCCAAGAGGCACCCAGGTAGGCCCATACAGAACCCTACAGGGGCCTGGGGCCGGCAGGGTTTACTTCCATCGACTTCTCAGTCCACAGGGATGTCTTTGAAAGGGCCAGGTCTACTTTAGTTTTATTTTGTCCCTCCCACTAAGAAATTGGTTTCATGGTGAAAGGCAGAAGCAGCACTGTGTGTCAAGCCTGCCCAGAGCAGCCTACTGCTCATCTGTAGTGACTGGTTGCTGTCGGATCCCGACCAGCCCTGGCTTCCCTCGACACAATACAGTTAGGGACTTTAATTTAAACCCTTGTTCTGCAGACACACCCTCTGCAGACATGCCCCTGCCTCCTCCTAATAAAGGCTCATTTAACCCCGTGCTCACTTGTGTGCAAATCCTCCATCTCTAGGAATTATTTGGGCATATGGGAGTTCAAGTTTTGGAAAATCTTTTTGTTGTGTGAAACCCAAGTTTCTCAGTGCTTTTAGGTTTGAGTGTGTCACTTCCCTGGGTGGATTTGGGGGAATGAAAAGAAATCGACCCTTTTTGGGGGAGAGGGGGTGTTTTTACACCAATAAATGTATATGTAAATATTTCAATATATGCAAGCATTTCTTACACGAGTATTTGTGTGCCTGGTAAGTCAGTTCCTGTTATCTGCCCTTCCTGAGTGGCTGGCCTCTGCTCAGTGACATATGGACCAAGGTCTTCTGCCTCCATGAAGCAGCAACATTAGGTGGCTTCTGCTAGAAGTCATCCTAGCCAGTAGTCCTCAGTTCAAACCATTACCTGGTGCTGGATGAAGACCTCTATTAACTGTCAGGGTCTGACCAGAGGGCTCTGTTGGTGGTATACTTGTGATCTCCCTACACTTCCAGCCATCTACGTCTGGTGATTGCTCCCCATCCTGACATTGACCTGTCACCTAAGGCTTGTGTACCTCACAGGGGACAAGCTTCAGCAGAGGTCCAGGGCTGCTGGTGTGTCACTCCCAGGGGTGACACTGTGTGAGGAGGGCTGAGAGAGTGAGGGCCCTCAGTTACTAAGTGCTGCCAGCCCCTGTCCACTGCACTGGTCTGAGCAGCAGGCCCTCAGAGTGACATGACTAAGGACTGTGCCAGGAAGACCAAGTACTTAGGGTGCGGTGTCAGCCACAAAGCTGCCTCCATCCCTATCCTGATGAGCTGGGTCCTGGGCTCCTTGCAACACCCTAGAAAGATCTGCTGTCCTCTGCCTCCTGAGATTTAGGATTAATGGCTTCCACCTCCATGCCTGACTTTTAAAAAAACACTTGTGAAAAGTTAGATGTGATTGGCATGGCACTTCATGCATGAACTGGTTGCCTAGACGCTCTGGTCAGTGGGGGCACATGGACTTCACTCAGTATCTTCTTGTTGCTGGGGACAGGTTTGAAGGGGGCAGTTGCTTGAAGAAACCTCAGGGACCTTGCCCAACTCCCAAGTGTCACCTGGGTAGGTATGTGGGGGATAGTGACCCTATGAGCAGCCTCAGGACCTGACCACCCACATAGACACCTCAGGAAAACCAAAGCTTACCCCAGGTAGAGTAAGGTGACAGTGCTGGCTGTAGCAGAGAACCCAGGTGAGTATCGGCCTGAATGGTCCTGTTTGGTGTTTGGAGAAGGATGGTCCTCACCATTCCAAATCCTGTCAGCCTGAAGACCTTGGACTATTGCCAAAAAGCGGTTTCTAAATTTTCAGTGTAACAGTTACACTAGTGCAGGGTATGGGATTGGGGAAGACAGCTTCTACTTGTATTTGTTGTGACTGAGTCATTGATAATGTGTTAAAGTTTACTACCAAAGGAATTATATATTCCAAGAAATGAGCTGGAATTGGTAGCCGCCTTGTATCTGGGAGTTCTGAGACACTGAAGGACAATAAAACAACCAAATGTCACTGTATTGTTTTTTAATTTCCTGGGGCCCCAGTGTTTTGTCCCAGCTTCTGGTAGCCTATCTTAAAGTGGGGAGTGGAAGGTGGGGTGCACATGCCTTTTCAACATGGCATTGATCCAGCCTATTTGATCTCAACAGGCTGGATTCCAGTGAGAATCCCAATTGACTTCTGCCCACCTGAGGCTACAGGGACCTGTCGGAGTAATTTCTTTACCAGCACCTTGTGGGGCTTCACTGTGGGCTTGGCCCACCACCGGTGTCTGATCAGCTTGAGATGCCCAGTTTCACTTTGTGATTTTAAGGCAGGATCTGCTGTAAGCTCAGGCCTGAACTGATCCTCCTGCTTCCACCTCCCAAGTGCAGGGAAGACAGGCATCCACCACTATTAGAAACATTTTACTTAAAAATTGGGGGCTGGAAAGATGGCTCAGCAGTTAAGAGCACTGGCTGCTCTTGCAGACATCCCCGGTTTAGTCCCCAGCACCCTCACAGCAGCTCACAGCCATCTGTAAGTCCAGTCTCGGGGACCTGATGCCTTCTGGCCTCCACAGGCTCTGTAAACAAATAGTGCACAAACATGCCAAAAAAAAGCATACACAAATGAAAGCAAAAAAATGGGGGGGGGCACACCTTTAATCCCAGCACTTGGGAGACAGAGGATCTCTGAGCTGTCCTGGTCTACATAGTGAGACTATTTGGAAGACAGAAGGAAAATGGGAAGCTGGGCATTTGGGTTACATGTTAAGTATCCTAGGTTGGCCATGCTTACATAGCAAAGCCATGTCTCAAAACAAATCTAGCCGGGCGTTGGTGGCACACTCCTTTAATCCCAGCACTCGGGAGGCAGAGGCAGGTGGATCTCTGTGAGTTCGAGGCCACCCTGGTCCCCAGAGCGAGTGCCAGGATAGGCTCCAAAGCTACACAGAGAAACCCTGTCTCGAACCCCCCCCCAAAAAAAAAAAAACAAAAACAAATCTGAGAGTGTGGCTCAGCAGTACAACCCATGCCTAGAATCCCCCAGAGTGGGGTTGGGGCTTGCCCTGGGGACCATCACCTGCCTAGTCTCAAGTTCTGGGTTCCATCCCCGGCATGAGAGAGGAACGATGGGAAGCAGGTGGTATGTCTAGTTCAGCTTGTGTGAACATAAGGATCCATTCTAGTGTGCTGGAATCTGGAAGACTCCATCTATGGAATCTGCTGCCCAAGCCCCAGGGATTGTGTCCTGCTCAATGCCTCAGGTACTGAGCACAAACCCGTGACCACAGAGCCTCCCTATTCACCAGAGGGTGGACTGTTTCTGCCTAGGTCTGGCATTACTAGGTCCAGACAGTACTAGAGTTTAGGTCCCCCCCTCTCTTGCAGCCTCAGTTTCCCCATCATGAGGCAGTTGAGACCCAGAATGAGGACAGAGCTAACGCTGGACCTCCAGGGTACCAGAAACCTGTGGAGAGGGGAGCAGGGGTTGAGCATAGCAAGACCCACAGCAGACAGCCCCTTAGACTACCTGGGCCTCATACAGGGGCAGGAGACGGTTGAAAATGTTTCCCAGTCACTAAACCCCAGTAAAATCACCTCCAGGGTCCCCTTTGAAGTACTGCTCTAGCTCCCCTCCATTTCCTCATTCCCCTCCTATTTCAGCCCCAGGAACTTCCCCAGGATCACTCTGTCCTGTGTTTTCTGGCGTGTGTGTGTGTGTGTGTGTGTGTGTGTGTGTGTGTGTGTGGTTTTTGGAGACAGGGTTTCTCTAACCCTGGCTGTCCTGGAACTCACTATGTAGACCAGGCTGGCCTCAAACTCAGAGAAATCCACCTGCCTCTGCCTTCTGAGTGCTGGGATTAAAGGCATGTGCCACACTCCTGGCATTCTGTGCCATTTTTAATGGTTTGGGCACAGCCCCCAAACAGCTTCATAGTCTCTCTCTGGATACCCCTGCCCTACCTAACATCCTTTATAACTTACAATTCTTTCCACATTTTATCTTAAGTTACTTGGCATTGCACTTGTATCCTTGTTAGGCAAGGATGGTTCAAGCCTTTTGAAGTCCCAGGACCTGATTCAAGACACGAAGAACTGGGCTTGCTGGGTCTGTTTTCTCCCTGTAAACTAGGGAGAGTTCCACCATCAGGCATCTTGATACCCGAGTACAAACCATAGTCGTCTCTGCACAATTGACACCTGTGTGGGCCTCAGTTTCCCCATCTGCCAATGCTCGGTTTTTGCGGACAGGCACTCCCTTCCTTTACGCACGCCGATCCCAATTCAAGCATCATCACAACCTGTTGACGACTACAGAACCTCCAGAAGTTTGGCCAGTTTGGGGAATTGAAAGTTCTGACGCTGGAATCTTCACATACATGGCTTTCTCTAAGGTGCTGAGACCTCACCTACCCCCTGTTCTCTAACAAGGGCCCACCGCTAACGCCACTTGCGAGGAAGAGCGAATTTATTGCAGGTTCCAAACTGGAACTTGGAGCGCACGGCTGGCCCGCACGGCTGGCCCGCAGCTTCGCCGCGCCGCGGCCACCCACCGCGCAGCAGGAGCTCATTCCGCG